TTACGATGTAAAAAAATTAATTCTATAAAAATCCATTTATAATTTTATAGAAATTGTATTATACATTCTATACATTTATCTGTTTAATTTCTAACGACTTTCTGAACAATTTATCCAAAATCGTTCAAAATTAAATAGAAAATATAACGAGAATTCTATAGGATTTTTCTAAAAGAAAAATATATAATTCTATAGACACTATATTTAAAAAATCGAAAGAGAAAATATATAATTAAATCTATAAATTTTATAGAATTTAAATAGAATTCTTTCTATAACATATTTTTCTAAGCAATTCTCTATATAATTATATTTCTATAGAACTATCTCTATAGAGAATGGATGGGGTCTTATATAGAGAAAAAAATCTTGGATCAATTTCCTATCAATATAGAACTATCTCTATAGAAAATGGATGGGTCTTATACACTGTAAAAAATATTTCTGTTCCTCTACAGTGAAATTAACTGTCAATAATTTGCACACACGTTTTCTGTAAATGTACGGAACATTTGTTAAGTTACAGACACTGTTCACCTACAGACACCTTCTGTGCAACTTATTGACAGAATAATACCACTGTATGACCACAGTATATCTGTAATATTAAAAAACATTTTTGTATGTTGACATTGAATTTCACTATAGGGCTACAATATTATCTTGTTTATTGACAGCTTCTTCCACTGTGATCCAACATAACGAACTGTAGACTTACAATGCGACTTCTGGTTTTCAATGGTTTCAACTGGTTTTCAATGGGTTTCAATTCCAACTGGTTCAACTGGTATTCAAAAGGTTATGAGGTCCAACTGCTTTTTCAACTGGGTTTCAATTCTAATTGGCCAACTGTTATCATTAGTAACTCTGAGTCACTGCAATATCCATTTACTTACTCTATCACCAAATGAATTGAAACAACATTTTTGTTATTATTTATTACTGTGCATTTATTATTAAATTCCACCAACAGATACAATTACTACATACTTTGACCATTTAAAAATTATTTATCATATTAATATCTAAGTAAATTTAAATTATATATTTCTTTAAAAATCAATTATGCACATTTACATTCTGTATTTACTCTATACTTATAACAAGATCTATAGTATAAGTCATATTGGATGATGAATTAATAATATAAAAATAACAATATGCAATTATTACTACTGTACACTTTAATTACATTGTATATAGTGAGCAAATCTATAAATACATTAAAGATTAAATTAAATGATTATAGATGATTACAATGCAATTGTTTTATTTAATTTAAAAGAACCTGAATTTAGAAAATATAAATAAATCAATTATGTGCACTTTGCAGAAAGGTGAACTAAAAAACAAAAACAGAGCAATTAATTACTTTTTAACTTGTCAATTATCTTTTGTTAAGTATGTACCGATTGAAGTGGGAGCTTTCTACAGCTTTTGCCTTCTTGGTAATGCCGTATGATTACAAATATTGTTGCTTTTTGAAACATTCCTGAAAAAGAAATTGAAATACAGTATCACTTATTATTTGAAAAAAAAATATAACATGGTTTAGCTTGATTTAAAACAATGCATTGCTAGATATAGTGTACTTTTATTGGCTGTGAGCTCTTATAATAATAAAATAATAATAATAATAATAGTAGACTTAGGGCAAATAGAACAATTTGTTAGATTATCACTCCCACCCACGTTAAAAAATTTGGAAATATTGATGCGGGAATAAAAATAAACAAATTTTTTGCCGCATTATTTATTTTAACTGCTTAAAAAAATGATGCAATTTTGTGACTGGAAATAAATTTTCTTTAAAAACAATAAAATTAAACTTGTAAATATTCTTGGAAATAAAAACAGTCCCTCCATCATCAATTAAAAAAAGCAATATTCTAAAAAAAAAAACAAAAAAAAAAAGCCCACCCTCATCACGTTAAAACAAAAGAAAAAAAAAAGAGTGATACTGTAATCTAATATTTTTTTCTATGTGCCCTTATATTAGCATATTGTTAGGCCCTCATTGGATTAATGCCTATGGAACACAAACTCCAGCTCCCTGGGGTAGTATTCTATAACGCTGCAGCAGATACATCAGCGCATGTTGGTACAGGGTATTTAACTCTACCAGGTACCTACTTATACTCCTGGGTAGAGAGAAGCAATGCAGATAAAATGCCTTGCCCAAGGACACATGTGAAATACACAGTGAGGGGATTGAAACCCTGACCCTGCGCCAAACCACTTCTACTTATTGACCAAAGCCAGTGGCAATGGACCTTAAGGGCCCAGTATATTAATCAGCTTTTTTCTGCCAGGACCATAGACCTTCCTTCAAACCATGTGTCATAAATCAGCCATGTGTTAACACATCAAAAAAGTCAGTCACCAGGGCAAACTGGAGCTTCTACCCCATACCTCTATCTGTGCCCTGCACGAGGCCCTGGCGAAGTATGTGCTTTACAACTACCTGGAGCCCTCTGTTTTATTTTACTCATCATTGAGCATTAGGAATACAGTAGTACAGTATCTATGTGCTACTGTATCAATCAATCAAACTCTACTGTAGGCCTACAACACAAAAAACCCAAATAATTATGTTTCATGTAATTGACCACAAGGCTTATATTTAGACTTAATGTTTACAATTCACATTTAAATTACCTTGTATTTGTATTACCAGGGCTGATCCATCCTTCTGTAGTTGTGAGCACAGGTTTCACTTCTTTGATAGCCAACAATGGTTGATGGGATGAATGATTTTCACACGTATCTGTGAGATGTGCCAACACTTATCTGAAAATTCAGAGATTTGAAATATGTTACAGAAAAAAACAATTGGTAATGAGCAACAACTGACAGGGTAACCAAAGAATTAAAACGATATCAACTACTAACCATGGCATAACTTATCATATCAACTAATGTCCATCATTATCTGGTATTTTTTTCAACTTCACTTACGTACTTTCCACTACTCTACCATGTTCTGTTGAATTAGAAGACATAAAATGAGTGTAATACAGGTACATTGCAAATTATAAAAAGGGCAATCAATTTTTTAATTGGGAGGATAATACTGTATGCAGCATCAGAAGGTGGCTTTCCAATCAAAACGGCAATAAACCCAAATGGCAATAAGTCAAAACAGCAACACTTTTTTACCAGAACGGCAATGGATCAAAATCAATAAGTGACTAAATCAAAACGGCAATAAACCAAAATAATAATAATATTATAATAATAATAATGGCCTATAACAACAACATACATACGAACGAATTCAATAATAAAAAGACTGGGGAAACACAATATCAAAGCAGTAGACATTCAAATAAATAAAACTTTCAAATACATTGGACAAAATATGAGGCAAAACAATTTATGTACAGTAATTAAAAGTAAAAAAAAAATGCGAAAAAAAAGAAAGAAAAATAAATAAATAATAATAATAATTGGCAGGGCCTATCCCCTAGCCTAACCTAGTAGTAGTACTAGGCCCCTAGCATAGCGCAAGGCCCTAGTTGTACTAAAAACCAGCTACTACTAGGCTAGGCCTGCCTAGGCTAACTACAGTACAGACAGACACACAATAGCAGGCCTTGTAACCAAACTGTTACAATGCTAACTTTGTTCAGCTACATACGACTTCCACTGTATGTTTACAAAATCATCAGTTGAAGTACAGATATTTTTTACAGTGTATAGAGAAAAAATCTTGGATCAATTTTCTATAGAATTATATTTCTATAGAATCATCTCTATAGAGAATGGATGGGTCTTATATAGAGAAAAAAAATCTTGGAACAATTTTCTATAGAATTATATTTCTATAGAACTATCTCTATAGAGAATGGATAGGTTTTATATAGAGAAATAATTCTTGGATCCAATTTTCTATAGAAGTCTATAAAAACTCATAAGTGTCTATAGACTTTCTATAGAATTCTATAAAACATTTTACTACGGGTTCCGCTTTCTTTGACTGGTTAAAATAAAGAATAGGCCTATGAATAAATTGCATTCCGCTGTGATGATTGGTAAAGAAAATTTATCGATAAACTGGTTGCTAGGCAGATTGTTATCCACAAAGATGTAAAATATAAATGTGTCAATTTCCCCTTCATCCATATTCCTAGCAATACGTCCGTCGAGCAAGGTGTACTCTCATCGTCATGACAACATCGTAAGTTTCAAATTTTGTTTTGTATATTTGGTGTAAGACAAGTGAACATTAATAATATGGGTGGCATTAGGATTTGCCTGACCGTAGGTTCCGATGTCCTCAATGGTGGGGGAGGGGGCGATGTCCCCGAGGAGAGCGTAGGTTGACGTGGTTGGGCGTCGCTCAAAAGCCCTCAGAAATGGTTGAAGGGGCCTAATGTGAAAATACAAAATACATTTAAGTTTTATTTTGACGAATTATGATTTTTCCCCGCACCCCTCTCCCACTGGCGCCACCTCTGCAGAATAATAGGGACTAAGAAGAATACGGATGGTGTTTTTTACAGTGCCATTTTAATAATTTTCATTTCATTATTTAAATTAATAAACTAAACATCTCGCAAGCATAAAACCCAAAAATATATACGATGTTAAGAATCAACCAATATGGGAAAATAAGTTTATAACTGTAGGCAAAAATTCAATGTACTTTAAAGTTTGGATAAATTCAGGTTACAAATCGATAGGTGACATTTCAATAGACGATAGATTATTAGCGCCAAATGAATTGATCCCAAAACTTTTACAAAAAGAAAATGGGCTAATTGAATATATCACCCTTATAA